CACATCAGCGACTCAACTTCAGACATCTGGAAGTATTTGAAGTTATGGATCGATTGTTAAATAATAAGAAAGATTTTCACTTTAATATTTCATTTTATTTTCTGCACCGAAAAAAATATCGTTCTCTTACGAGTTCTCAATCGTAACTAACTTAAAACGTTGCAAAAACATAAAGCCAAACCTTTGACTCATGCATACAATATTCCTATTATAAACCACACATTAAGACTTTATCTTATTAACAATAATAAAAGTATAGGATAGCCCTGATTAAATTTTGTTATTTTGCCGTTGTTATAACGACGCATATTCCAACAGGAAGAGCTTCAAATTCAGACCACTGCTGTCATTCTCGAATTTTATCAATTTCTTCGCCTTTCTTTTGTGATGCGGCTAGGGCGCTGAAATTGATGGTGATGCTTATCTCCTCGATACGAGACAAGGCATCGGCCACCACGTTTTCTTCGCCGGCGACATGACGAATGTCTGCAAAATTGCCCAGTGTAATATCAAAATATCTCACCTAGTGTGGCTGGGTTTTCTGCTTGAAGGCGAACGTCAATGGCCATGCAGCACTTCTTTGAGAAGAACTCCAAACGCTGGCACACTTCATCCACCTTCTATTGCAGTACAGCACCTACGGTAAAGTCAGACGCGTCGCAAAATATGGCGAGCGGCGCTGTGGGATCTGGATGGCTAAGATAGCTACCGTTGCTTTGAAAGAGCTTCCTTGGAATTTCGGAACGCTGTACGTGCCACTTCATTTCAACTGATTGGCTTATTTCCTTTTACATTGCCATGAAGTAACTCATTCAGTGGGGCCTGCGGAGAAGCAGCTCGAGGGATGAATCTTCTGTAAAAGTTGATCATCCCAAGGAAACGCCGGAGTTGCTGGGCTGTCTCAGGTTGCGTAAACTGCATGATTGCTTCGACCTTTACTGGGAGCGGGCTGGTGTCTTGACTGGACACCAGTTATCCAAAGAATCTTACGTTTTTCTGGCCAAACACACACTTAGCAGCATTGATAACAACCCCGTTGTCGCTCGGGCGCTGGAAAATACTGGTGGAGATGAGCCCCATGTTCTTCCTCAGTAGTAGATGCGACCAAAATATAGGCGAATACAAAATCTAAGTCCTGGAGAACTTCATCGATAAAACGTTGAAACGTCGGTGCAGCATTACGCAGACCGAACGTCATGACGATGTTCTCAGGAGCTAGCGGAATTTGATGGAATGCGCGCACGAAATCTATCGTCGAAAAGATAGTCTTCCCGTGCAGCGCTGTAGATCCCGCAGGAACTGTGAAGGTGTGCGATCACCAATATATTCACCCTCCAGGAATGCTGGCATCTTTTCTTCGTTGGAGGTGCTGAGGCGCTTAATTAAAGCACTCGTAACTTCTTCATATGTGCGGTCCGGCTTCACAATAGAGGCAAACACCGTGTGAGGATTTGCTGGCGACAATAATTGTCTCTCCTCCTTCTCCGTCACTTGATTAAAACGATGGGTGCGCTTGGCAAGTGTATACCATAAATGAATATCTTTTTTGTCTGTATGCAAAAACCAACTTGTTTTACCCGAGCAGCCACGATTTTACGCGCGCCTGAGGTTATAGTTAGTTTGTTTAGAAGTGTTCTGCGCTATTTTGAGTATTAATTTTTTCGCAACACTTCACCACACTTCTCTCACACCAAAACGTTGACAACGTGTACGTTTAACTTAAAATCACGTCGAGGTCACCAATTTGTGGTGTGTGTGCGATTCGACTAAAGGTACACGTAGTTGCCATACTAGTCATGGCAATGGCATTTCCTGCTGCACCACACACACCGACTTCAAACGATTAATAGAGACAGCGACCGCTTTTTTCGTTAATCCGCAACGTAAATATTTTATCACTGCATCTTACTACCGGAAATGGTCCATCATACGGTGGTTTTAGCCCAATTTTGAACACACACACACACCACAACTACATTATATATCAGCAAGTTAGCTACAACTGTTCGGTCGTTTCCTGCATTCCAATCACCAGAGTTCTTGATCAGTGCATTCTTCTTCCGAGAATCTTCAAGTTTCCATTGCACTGCAAACTTGCAGATTCCAAGACTTTCTAAAGCCGCACCGGAACGAAAAAATAAACACGAATAGCAGTGAAATGCAATGCGTTGCAAGTGAATAAAATTGCATTCAGGGGGCCAACAACCGAAACAACAATCGGAGCGCAGAGAATTAAAAGAGTTTATCGAGATTTTTCCATTCACTGTACATTTTAAATGTGCCATTAAAATTACTCGTGCGCCTTAAATATAAATATTTATAGGAAATTGTTGATTCTTGTGCAGTTTCCTTTCAAATAAATAAATAAATATTTAATAAACTGAATCAATTTTTTAGAACATTACTTTTATATTATACCTATGTCTATAAAACAAAGTTGTGTCAGTTACAACGTTTATAACTCAAGAACGACGGGACAGATTCTAATTATTTATGATTTGTTGGATTTATCTCCACTTGGAATAGCAGAATAACTACCAAAATGTACAAAATTATGATTTAAAGGGGGTTAAATAAGGTGTAAAAATTTGCTATGGAAATTATATCATAACTAGCTTTTGTCCGCGACTTCGTTTCGGTAGTGTTTAATAAAAATGTAATTCGTTTTTTTATTCTCTTGTTCAAGACTTATGAGTATGTCTCAATTCTATCAATAAGATTCGCAATTTTATGTTAAACAAATTAATTATATAAAAGAATTTACTTTAATCATGCACTTCAACGCGCCATCTCGGATTCAACTATTTAACACTATAACTATGATTCCAATCTCGAAATGCCAACTTTTTATCTTTTTTAGAAAGGCTGTCTTTAGAGGTTTTCAGCAATCATTCAATTTTTTCTCACCGTAAAACAATATTTGGACTTAAACCAACATTATAATAGTAAAAACAATATTTGGACTTAAAAACAAGAATAATAGCAACAAATTAGCAGTAATTCTTCAACTCGCAGGCTCAATGGCTCTAATTATCCCAACCTGTAATTCATGCATTTACCTGCAGTTTTATTTATTTTATTTCTACTAGTAACCATTTCATAGTCTCTTTTTACGTGTTTGTAATCTTTCTATTTTAATTCTAGGAGAACACGACGCCGTTAATCTTGGCCGCCGCTAATGGTCATTACGAATGTGTCAAAGAGTTACTGGAACAAGGCTCCGATGCGGCCGCGCGAAGAGTGGTACGTGCAAAGCAGGCCTGCGTAAATTCAACGCGTAACAAAACGAGAAACGAACCGTTCACTTCAAAACCCAGGCAGGCGCCAAACGAAGCGCAAACTTTAACAAAACGCTTTGAATTTATAACTAACACACAAAGAGAAAACAAAACAATAAAACAAATGAATTGCCGCATGTTTCACTCAGACAAAAACAAAAACAAGACGCGAAGAAAGTTTATAATGATATGTACAGTATACTAAATCCTTTTGTTTCGCAGACAGGGACAACAGCATTATTCTTTGCCGCGCAGGGCGGATTCTTGGACATCGTGCAACTGCTGCTTGAGAATGATGCACCTGTCGACTCGCTGAGCGTCGTAAGTGTGCTTGCTCCAGAAACCTGAATATTTCCTCTTAACTCAGCGCTGTTGTGTTGGTTTGCAGGACGGCGGAAGTCCGCTCTTCGTCGCGTGCCAATGCGGACACATGGACGTCGTCAAGGAGCTGGTGGACCGCGGCGCGCAAGTGAATGCCCACATGAAAGTGAGTAGGACTCATTCAAGTGCAAATCGATTAGAGATTAGAGACATTGAAACGGAACCGCGTAAGTCATAAACAATTGAATTGCGTTCACCATGTCAAACCGCAACAATAGAAAGTTTCGCGAAAATGCGAACGGAATCACATTAGGCTTAGAAAGGAAGTAATTACCAGTTTAGTTACACTTAAATGTGACGAATTTGAAGTCAACATATTTGAAAATTTAAATTAATTCAAATTGAAGTCATTTGAATATTGTACAGTTATCTATTCAATCAATATCATCTGATGAATACTTATAGATTCTCAATGTTTTTAGGACAGAGCCACACCGTTATTTATAGCGGCACAGAATGGGCATTACAAAATTCTGCTGTTCCTGTTGGCGCGAGGAGCCGCGCCTGATTCCCGACGTACTGATGGAGCGACGCCATTATGGATAGCCGCCCAAATGGGTCACGATCATATCGTTTCGCAACTGTTGAAAGCTGGCGCACGAGTTGATTCCGCTAGACATGTAAGTCGATTAAAAAATTGAAGCAATTAGATACTTGATAACACAACATTTGTTTCCCAGGATGGAGCTACGCCTCTCTTCAAGGCAGCCCACAAAGGACATTCTCAAGTTGTTGGCGCTTTGTTAAAGTATCGACCATCGCTTGGACTCCTGCCAGTAAGTCATGAATGATTAAATGTTCATTTTTTACAATTTTTCATTTTTGTAGAATGGTGAAAGTGCTCTTCATGCTGCGGCGCTTGTGGGTTGCCTACCAGTGTGCAAACAACTCGTTGCTGCTGGAGCTGATCCTTTTCTGAAGAATCAGGAAGGTTTTCAGCCTGCAGAGTTAGCACTGAATAACAAACACGCGGCGGTTTCTGATTATTTGAAGAACTGTGTGCGACGCACACCAAAATGACACCGCCGCAAGGAACTAGGATCATTTATCCGCGTTAATTCGAATTTATTGATTGCTGGCGATGATAATCGTAAGAATTCTGATTGTATTCAAGATGGCGACGAGTGTGTCCTACATGGTGCCTCTTGTGCATCTACAAGCGGCTAGAAATCACGTTGATTAAGAATCATATCGTGTTTGTATTTAAGATAAGAAAATTGTTTATTGTTAAAGAATATAAGTTGATTGACTGACTGAGAAGTGCCAAACACTTGCTTAAAACTTACAATTACGTGTTACTGTAAATTGAATTATATTTTGTTGTTGCGTTTCTGCATTGTAAGTATATTGTAAATAGTACTTAATTACTATTGTAAAGACTATGAAAACGACGTTTATTTATAGTTTATGACGTCACATTGTTGATTCTAATATATAATATATTACCTTATAATACTTATATGCATTTATATAATATTATTTATGAATTTAAACAAACAAATTTCTTTGATATGAAACAGATATTTATCATTAGCCAGAAATTAATAAATTATCGTTTCTTGTTTTTCTATGGTAGAAGATGACACGCTTTACATTCTAAAGTTTGACTTTATAAACCTCCTTGAATAGGTAGCTTGGAATGCCTACCAAAAGTTATTACTAATAGAGCAAGGTTTGTAAAACGATAGAAAACAGTATTTATATGTTTCTTATAGTATCAGAAACTCCGAATTGCTGTTATTTCATTATTGTTATTTCATAGCAGATGCGATTTTTAACAAATTCTATTTTAGTACTTTTAGAAATCTGCAACTTTTGATTTCTATTTTAATGAACATCTGAAAGATTTTCAGGTATGAACATTGTAGAAACTTTCTTTGTCATGTACGAGTATAGCCCAATAGGAAGTCAAAGTCGACTTTAATTCACCTTGTCTTCAGGCAGCGATGCTTATGATAACAACTCCAAAGCAACGTTGTGGCATGGGACCAGCGACGACATCGGAGGTACCGGGAATTCCAGGAATGCGACGCGTTGCGAAGCGATTTGATATAATTCTGAATGTGAATATAGATGAATTGTCTGGAAGCTGATAAACATCGAGAGTTGTTGGGGAAAATCTCCTGGAATTGCCGTTAAACCCTAAAATTTAACCAAGATGAAACTAATGCTTATAAAAATAATATTTTAATTAAGAATAAAATGGATTACCATTTATATCAGTGAAATCTTTTGAAGATTTGCTAATGATGATTGATATTGATGTCCTCGGTGGTAATGACAGTATTCTGACTGTAAAAGAAAATTATTTAAAATATTACGCATTTATTAAAAGCCAATTATTACCATATTAAAGATGACCAAATGTCCAATGGCAGTTTGTTTTGGGGTTTGTATACATAGTAATAGATATATTTATACAATAACTTATAACTAATTATTACAATTAAAAGCTTATTGATATTTTACAATACAATATTGATTTGATAGTTTTGTTTAGTTATCAGAAAACTATCTATTAGATAATTCAAAGTCAGTGATCAGATTTTCAGTTGGTACATATTGATTTGTTCTATCAAATTTACGCCAGATGTAGGAAAAATACAAGTATAAGAAAAAGCATTAAAATAAGTAAAATAAGTAATATAAATAAAACATGTGTAGTTATATCTGATTTCTCCTGCATATCGTGAACTTGATTAACTACTTGAGTGGGATTAGCTCAAGTTTTTATTATCGTTATGTTTTAATACGTTTAACATTTCTAATCTTATTATTAGACAATTGAATATTAACCCTTGAGTAAGATTAGCATTCAAATTTTTATCATTGATATGTTTTAATACGTTTAACACTTCTGATAGTATATTATTATTTGACAACTGAATATTAACTCCTTGAGTAAGATTTGCATTTAAGTTTATATTATTCATATGATTTAATACGTTTAACATTTCTGATAGAATCTTATTATTAGACAATTGAATATCAGAATTTGGTATGTTGGTAGATTCGATAACGTTTTGCATTGTAGTGGATTCTATTACATCGGAATGATTACAATGCATTCCAAATAGATGTAAACGATTTTGTTCTTTTCCAGCAACACAATTAATATTTAATGTTTTAAAATATTTGACTATTTCGACTAATCTTATGCAACTTAGTTGCATTCCATCGATATTAATTGAGCTCAAATGCGATCCTTTAAATAATGTTACATCAATGTCACTTACGTTATTGTAACTAATATCCAAAAATGATAATTGCGGTGTATTAAATATTAAATATTTATCAATCGTATAATGATTATAACTTAGATTTAAGGATTGTAAATTTGATAACCCATGCAAAGATGCTATGTGCATGTTTTTTATTTGGTTGTGGGACAAATCTAAATGTTCTAAATTTTGCATATTTACAAATGTATTCGGATTTATTTGATTTATTTGATTGTTTGATATATTTAGGTATTTTATTGCACTGATTTCCGGAAACATTTTGTTCGATAAACTGCTAAAATTTTGATGTGATAAATCGAGTTTTTGTAATAATGGAAGATAACCTAATGCATTATCAAAATTTGATATATTATTACCAAATAAAATTAATGTATGTAGTGCTGATAAATTGTGAAAGATATAACTGGTATCCTTTAAATTTAGTAAATCGCATTGATGTACATTTAATAACATATTCATTGACAAATCGAGAACTTCTAATTTCGAAAGATATATAAATGCATTGGGAACTATGTGTTTTATCTGACTATTAGACAAATTCAAATATTGAAAATTTTTATTAGCAGTAAACAGTTCATTAGAAATGCTTGTTAAGTTATTGTTTGATAAATCTAAACTCGTTACACTAACCAGTATACTAAGCGAAGTAATAGTTCCTATTTTATTTCCGATAACATTATTTGAAAATGAAACTTTTGTATCACTTTTGAAATTATTAAAGGCATTTTCTTCAATTGTTGATATATTATTGTTTTTAAAACTTACGAAGCGATACTTAACATCCCATGTACCATACTCAGATGATTTTTGTTTAGGAAAAGCAAAGTTTACAATTCTGTCAATTTGCGAATCCTCAATAATCAGCTCAACGATACCAAAATTAAAAGCTATGTCATCTGTGATGACAGTTTGCAATGTAAAGTCACTAAATTTAAGATTCTGCATTGATATTATAATTATATTTCTATAAGGGTCACCGAACGAATACGAATTTAATCCTTCAACAGTCCATTCGCCATTTTTTTGGGTAACATTGCAATAATTGCAATTGAAGTAATCGGGACCATATTCACTACGTAGCTCTCTCTTATAATAACAATATCCATTTGTGTGCGCAATAATGAATAATATCACTTGAACAATTGTCCATAAAGTAGCCATTTTAACCACACAGTTTAAACACTAAGAACTGTTCAACCTTAAACGCTCATAATATACGTGAATTAATCGACTGCTTGCGCATAGCAAAGCTTAATATTTACAAAACTGGAGATTATTAATCATATTTGCCCATGTCAGCACGTAATGATAATATGTATGCGCGTGCACTATCGCATAGAAGAGGCGTCTTGTCAGCTCAGCACACCAACAGTAGCTGACGAAACAAAATGATATGATTCAAGTTATCAACAGTTAAACTGTATTTCACATTTACAAAATAGTGTTTAAAATATTTTACCGGAAACCAAAGACAATGCAAAAATTTATTATTATTATACAATTTATTATTATTTTCTTGTTTTTTTTTCTGTCCCCTTTATTGTATTTAGATATAATTTTAAAGGAACTAACTGATATCTATTAAATTTCCATTTTTATTCTGAAGAGAATTAGAAATATTTTATCGTTATATTCTTCTAATCGTAGAGGCTCTACCAATCCTCTGAACCACCAAGAAGTGTCCTAAAGCGCATTTCTAAAATAAGTACATATTTTTGTCAGAATTATTCCTGTGGTTTCGATTTAATTTTTGTCAAAATACAGTAAAGTTTGAATAATTTATTTCAATTACTTCTTCTACTTCCACCTTTAAAGCGCCAGTTTATCCACGGTTTTAAGATACATAAAGTGGTACTTTGACGGACGGCAACCGTGGCTAAAGTAGTTTAGTCACTCGTGTTGGCGCAACGCGAGGCACAGCATTTATAACCTTACATTTTTCAGAAGTGAGCGAGCGAATTTCGAATATTTAAAATACAAAAGTTCAAATACAAAACATCACGAGGCTAAACGTTGTTAAACCAAAAGTCCCGCTTAGTGATACTTAATTGACTATTGTGTCAAAAGCCAGGATCCGTTTTATATTTAAAATTTATTTCAGTCGAAACAGCCAGGAAAAGATTTTGTCATACAAAGTCAAATCTTTTCTCTTTCTTTTGATTAAAACTAAAACGTATGATTATAACTAAAATTTGAATTTTTAACTGGATTCTGATATAACAATTAATTCTAATGAATTAATTACATAATCCAAACCATCTTCTACTTAATAGTAGTTAAGGTTTGCTCCGTACATATATTTAAGATTAAACTCAACTTCCAACAATAGTTTATTTCCCATTATTTCGAAATCTACTAAAGATGATCTATATCCAAAAATGGAGTTGATTGCACAATAAAATAAAGAAAATTAAAATAAAATAGCAAATTTTAAAATTCGTATTTTGAAGTTACTGAAAAATAATTTTCCAATGCGTTTTCCCCGCAAATTACAAAAGCTACACACAAACAATTTATCGATTCTAAAAGCTGTTTATGTGATAAAAAGTTTACAATATGGGATTTCTTGATTTACCATGGAACGTTGTTAGTATTACAAAAAGCAAAATGCGCACTCAATGAGGTGTTAAGGATCAGAAAAGAAGGTAGGATATAAAACATCTAATCTGAATAGAAATATATATAAATCAAAATATAATTAATTGTCATAATTCGAGAAGTCATATAAATTGTATGTTTGGTAATTAAATAATGAAAATTCACCTATATTTGGCAACATAACCAATAATGTAACCTACTTTCCTATCTCATAATTTAAGTTTTTTATCACATCACAAGTACTTGACTTGTTATCGCTTTATCAGTGTTGATTGACTTACCTCAGGTGTTTGTTTAACAGTTATGGAGTGATACCTCAGTTGCGGTTGTATGTGAGAGGTGGAACGATATGTGACACGCCTGGTGTGAGTTAAACACAAAATGCCGAAAAATCGATACGATGATCTGCAACAGGTAAAAACATTTCTTTAATAAATGAACATTTACTTAGTCTTCACCTGATGTAAGAAATTAGCAAAAATGATAAAGTTAAATCAAAGAAGAGTAAAACCGTGACACCAAGCTGGAAATGGAAGAACAAGAGAAAAAAATTAAAAAATACATTCTAATAATACCACAATAAAATAAAAGACAATACAAATTTAAATACAAATTACAAATTTACTTTTCTTGCCTTCCCTTGGGCAAAGATTTCAATAATTTTGTCGTACTCTAGTTTTTTAAAAATATCATTTTCTATGAACATTAATGCCAGGTCATTTAAGTGCTCTTGTGAAAGACTATTGCGCAGGTATTGCAGTATTGTGTGTATATTTGGAAAAGTTGATTTTAGACCATTACGTATTCGTAATGATGCATATATTTCATGTGGAGCTCTAATATTTTCTTCTAGTATGTATTTTAGAAAATGAGTTAACTCATCAGTGAAATATTCTGGCTCAATATCTTTTTCATACTTAGACACAGGGGCGTAGCTACCGCCGTATTTGCCGTATCAATTATACGGGGCCCTCAAAGTGTGTAAGGAAAACCTTGCTTAGCAAGGTGATTGTATCTAAGGCTTTTTCGTTGATTTGACAGAGTATAAAGATGGCATCCATGGCAGAGCAATTCCTCCGAAACCCTTGCTGTTCTTCGCTGAGACAAATGATATCGCCTAGTATCTTGTTCGGTATCGCAGTGAAAAGTTTTAGACAACTACTACAACAAGAAAGAGAAAGAGACAGCTTAATAATTGCAGAAAAAAAATCAGAAAGTGCATCATTTCAGAAGCACCTGAGGGTTGATCTTGTCCTGCAGTCGGCTGGCATACAGTTTCCTTGTGCTTTAATTAACAAATAACTCGATGTTGAGTTTTTCCATATATGACAGTGCTATATTTGCTTTGTTTAGCTTGCCTATTGTCGCTTTTTTTATTTTGTTTGTGTTCACTGCAAACATTTGCAGAGGCCCCGGGAAATTTACCCCAGTTGACCCCCCTTCTTATCGGCCCTGCTTGCGTTGACAAAAGTGTCAACTTTCTACGTAGAAGCCGATTAACAGTTCCTCATATGTATTAACATTTCGTTCTTTGGATGATGTTGTATTGTGTGATGAAGTTGTTCATAAAACTCTAAGCTTCACTTGTTAGGCTTGACAATTTTGGAGCTGTTGAGTTTGGCGCTCTTCCACTGGTGGCGCTGCACAACCCACGCAAGTAGCTTAGTGGCTTCCCAGCCACTTTGTGTTCTGTTAGTAAGTCAGTTAGATTCGTTACTTTGTCCGTGGTAGTTTTTTTATGTGAAACTAAGCAACATGGGCCCAGGTTAAAAATGACAAGCTGCGTGTATTTTAAAAGAATTGTGTGTTGTGGACATAAGAACGGTTTACTCAGACTTCTTGTATTATTCTTATACTTTGCGTGTGTATTACTTTTGGTTTGGCAGAAAATGGCATCAGAAGATATTCGCGTTCCGGTTTTGACAAAATCAAAATATCTACGATGAAAATACGAAGTCACATCGTGCTCGGAGAGTGTCAGTGTGTTCGATATTGTGTCTGGAGCTGAGCCATGCCCCAATTTGACGACGCATGCAAAGGAAGCTAAGGAATGGTGGAAGGGTGACGCTAAGGCAAAGCGAATCTTAACTGGAGAAAATCACTGAAAATTTGGGACACAATTAAATCATTATAACAGGCAAAAACGTGGACAAATAAACATTTGTTGGGGCAGGCTTTGCATGCGCTGAAGTTTCACGAGAATCAGTCGGTTTCTAGTTATTGTGCACAACTGTCGATAATTGTGCAAAATCTGAAGACGGCCGTAGTGATTTTTTTAAAAGCTGACGGAGGGAAAGCAGTGGCACGGGCCACAAGAATAAATGTCACTGAGCTCGTTCAGTTGCATACAGTCGCGCTCAAAATTAAAATTAGAGTCCGACCGAAACAAGTTTTCAGGGCCAAAATAAAAATTTCGGTCGCTCACTAATTAAGTACTTTCGTTCAACAGAGTTAATACCTGTACCAGCGTTAGGGCAGGGCGCGGTTAAGCGACCGCCCACGGCCGCCGGACTTTAAGCCGGTTTTTTCGTATGGGTTTGAATTGCAGTTAGGGGGCGCCGTAGAAATCTCGCCCAAGCCGCTGATAGTGCTTAAACCGGCCCTGGTTAATACGTTTAATATACAAGAAGATTAATTTAAATTACAGGTGCAACCAACAAGTGAAGATTTGATTGGAATTGTAAACAGGAAAACCTCTGGAAGTTGATTTAGGTGAAGATGTGCCAATTTCACAATTACCTACTCATGACATTTACAACCCTAATTGTAGGTCAATTCCAATACATGTAATATCAATAGCAGATGTGTAACATGATAACAGCAGTTTAAGGGATGTTTTTTTATTAAAAAATAAATTAAACATTTCTTTTAGCTATTATAATATTATATTTACTCAATACTTTTCATTATTTTTATTTTGTTTTTTCATTCTTGATTTGTATTTTAAAATGCAATTAATAGTTTTAAGAAAAATCCGTGTGTAATTTTCACAGCGGAGCGTGTCGCTGGTAGCAACCCTTCGTTATCGGCAGGGCTGCGATATCAAGTCGCCGAACGTTGCTAAATTGCGAATGTAACGCAGCGAGATTTCTAAGAAATTATTGTTTTTTTTTCAGTGATGTCGAAAACGAGTTCTCAAAACATGTAGTAGTAAATGTGCAGGCCTTTCTTTTGAATATTTTGATACAAAAATTTGACTACTCCATACCTTCTAAAAAGTAATTTATGATTTTTCAAATGTGACAAAATGGCGTCTCTGGCTAAAAAAAACGCTTATAATTTCAACCTGGAAGAATCATAATAGATGCAATTACTAAATATATGCATATATTTATTTCAGGATATGTTTTGATTAAGATTTTTAGATATAACATTTTACGCAAACATTTACAAAACCAGTGGATATTAGTGGTTAGATTAAAGACTATGTATTGCTTATTTGATAAACTTCATTTTCAAGTGAAATTACTATTAAATTAACTAATGGCGTCCGTAATATATTTATATTGATTGTTAAAACTTTTTTAAAATATACTATCATCATTTCCCAAAATACACCTCCCAAAACATAACCACAAAACAGTAAAGTAAACTGCTTTGAAGATGATTGCTTAGCACAATTCCCTTTGATAATGTGTCGCCGATGTGTT